GGTGGCTGTTAACAATTTTAGTTCATTCTAAACTGAGATATCCCCCTTGCCAAATCCAACACCCCGCCCCCCACCCCCCAACCCCTCCAGCCAGGGATTGAACCCAGGGCCTCTTACTAGGCAGGTAAGACTGGGCTTGATGCTCTGCCTGGGATCTCTTGGAAATCGTTGTTCCTTGCAAAGAAAAACAGTAACAGTCTAAACTTTTTCTAGGACTAGTGAGATGGTTCATCAGGTGAAATCACTTAATTTGGAACTTGATGCCCTGAGTTTGACCTCTAGAACCCATGGTAGAGGAGAGAGCTTACTCTCAAGCAGATCTGACTGCCATGTGCCAGTGGCACTGTCCTATCACAGATACAGACCATTTTGTACCTTAAATAGCGAGAGAAAGTTCTCATTTTTGTTTTTTTCAATTTTACCTGGTTTTTGTTTGATTTTTCTATTTTGTTTTTCATTTATGTTTTGAAATTTCATTTGCTAGATTGGAGTAACTGCATGCTTTCTGTAGCTCAAGAACCTGAGATATGGAAGAGTTTCTGACAGATTATTTTTAGAAGTCTCTTGCTCTTGTCTGTTTCTATTCTAAGAATTCTCTTGGAACCTGTTGCAGAGAAGTAGAGTGGATGGAAAACAAGTGCACATGCACTTCCTATGGCCAGCAGCTGGGTGCATGCCTCAGATGCAAGTCTATTTACTGCACAAGACTCTGTTTCAAAAAGAAGGCAGAAGTTACCCCAATATTGCTTTGGTGTGCTAGTTGAAGATATTGCTTCTTATTTCTTTTGGTTTACATGCCCTCCATTTTCAGTTTAGAAGTGGTAAAAAAGTTTGAAGGTTTTTGGTGGTTACTTTGGGAAGTTCCTTTTGGGAAGTCTCTCCTCTTCTCCTTTCCTTCCTCCCTCTCTCCCTTCTTAGTGTATGAGGGGGAAGAGGTGAAAAGTATGAGTGTGTATGTGGGCGTGTGTAGTGGGTGTGTGTGTGTGTGTGGGGGAACCAATGTGCTCGAGTAGGTGTGGGGGGGTGCTGTGCTCCATCTGCTATGTGTGTGTGTGTGGGCGCTGTGCTGAAGTGGATGTGTGTGTATGGGGGTACACTGTGCTCCAGTGGATGTGGGGGGGCACTGTGCTCGGGTGGATGTGTGTGTATGGGGGGCCGCTGTGCTCCAATGATGTGTGTGTGTGTATGGGGGGG